ACTACATTTGTAATATAAAACATGCTGTCATTTGTTAATCATGCTTAAACAACGCCATGATGACATAGTACACTACCGGTCAAAAGAAGGTATACCAGTTCGCAAATTTGATTTAACAAGAGAATTATGAACGTTATCAATCATTTAATGGGTTGAAAACCGTTACAAAACACACACTGAATACTTTGGTAAAACACACAACTGTGGTCCTACCTCAAATACAGTACCATCGACTACATCTTATTTGTGACCGCCTCCGTGGTATAGTGGTTAGAGCGTCCGCCCGGAGAACGGAAGGTCGCCGGTTCGATCCCCGACCGCGTCATACCAAAAGACGTTAAAATATGGTACTTGTTGGTCCCTGCCTGGCGCTCGGCATTAATGGGTACAACAAGGACTGGTCGGCTCGGAGTCAGTATAATGTGTCTGAGTGGGGTATTCATGCTTCACTGCGGCATGGCATCTCAGTGGGCTAGCACTATTAAAACCAGCTTCAGTCTGGGCTAGTACAAGCAGCCGCACATACACACACACACGCATGCACGTCGTCATATGAGCGAAATATTCTCAAGCACGACGTTAAATCCAATTTCACCTCACCTCACATCTTATTTGTTTCATGTTGAATATTCTTTTGTACGGTAGTTTAAGTCAGCTATCGACTTAAGGGCAGTGGGGTAGCCCTATGGATATTGCGTTCGCTCACCACCTGGTAGGTCCGGGTTTGATTTTGATTATGGGTACAGGCGTAAGGTATCACGTCGAGGTGTCTTCCCAGTGCTGTGTCATGTTCATTGAGAGATGAGGTTATTAGTTCAGATGAAAATCTGCTGGTCAGGATCGATAACTTGGTTCATTGTGTGAAATCGTACAACGGCGGCGTGAGAGGTTATTGATATCAATCACTGGATTGTCTGGTCGCGGCACTACGGATCTTCATGAACCGAAGGATAGAATTAATCCTTTGGCGGTTCTTGAGTACTCTGCAGTCTCATGACAAGGACCCCTTCCTCCCAATTTCTGGTGTTCCTGTTGCAGTATGACCAGAATGGTATGGAATCCTAGAAGGGACATTGTCGCGTTGTCGCATTGTCGCGCTCTCAAAAACAACCAAAAAGAGGCGAAATTAACCAAAGCGCGACAAGGCGACAATGCAACGTTTTGGCCATTTGTCGCATTGTCACGCTTTGGATAATATTTTCTGTTCATCCAAAGAACGACAATGCGACAATGTCCCTTCTAGCATTCCATAGAATGGTGCTTAAGGAGGTACAAATATAAAACTTCAATATCAAGAAAAGTCCTACAGCACGGGGAGAGCCGCACGGTCAAATGCGACTCGTTCTTTTTTTCTTGATTTTTGCTTAACACCGCACTCGGCAATATCCCAGCTATATGACGGCGGGCTGTAAATAGTCGAGTCTGGACCAGACAATCCAGTGATGTACATTATTAGTATCAATTCACGCATTTGAAATCCCGTTAGTCGTCTCTTACGACAAGCACGGGTTGACTAACCCGGATCGTCATGGGTCTTTGTGGCTCTTGAGTGTATTGTGTCAATTGATTATGTACTTGAGTATAAATCACTGTTCAATATTCTCGTAGGGTCATATATGGCCTGATGATCCATTATATAACGATGGTCTGACGATTCCATTGGGAGTAACAGACAAACAATTTGTAAACTATAGTCTGTTTGCAGTGAAAACGTACCGATGAATTTCACTTTAAACAAGAAAGTAAACCGAATAAAGTGACATTACGATTGCGAATCCTCATAATTTTACCTTGCCAACTGAACATTTAAATATCAGAATTTTATTAAACTTAAGATAAAAGTTGTTTAACAAACGATGATACTTTCAAATCGTGATTATTGGTTTGTATTACAATGGTGTATGCACATTAAATGAAACACCGAGAACAAGTAGGGTTGGTCTAAGTTTACGCTCATCACGTACCGCACGTGCATTTGTTTCAGTGTTCGAACTACTGCGCTTACCCCCTTGTAATACAAACCAATAATAGCAATTTGAATCTATGATCGTTTGTTAAACAACTTTTATTCTATGATGAATACAATTCTGAGATATAAATGTTCAATTGGCAAGGTAAAATGATGAGGATTCGCAATCTTACTTTCACTTTATTTGATTTACTTTCTTGTTTAAAGTGAAATTCATCGGTACGTTTTCACTGCGTCCCATTTGGGATTCCAACCCTCACCCTCAGAGTCAGGCACCTAATCACCAGCACACGCGGTGGCTGAGCGGGTTAGGCGGCTCACTTTGTGTGCTGTGTAATCCCAAATATAATATTTGTTACAGATACCATGCCACAGTTTTAACAGATATCCGACTCAGACACTGTCTTCTCTGACTGACCAGTCCTTGTTCTATTCCAATGTCCAGGCAGGAAAACAACAAGTACCATCTTTTATCGTCCTTTGACATAACGAGGCTGGGATCGAACCACGTACCTTCCTCTCTCCGGGATCCAAGGGACAGTGGGGGTAGCCTAGTGGTTAAAGTGTTCGCTCGTCACGCCGAAGACGCGGGTTCGATTCTCCACACGGGTACAATGTGTGAAGCCCATTTCTGGTGTCCCCTGACGTGATATTGCTGGAATATTGCTAAATTCGGCGTATACTAAACTAAACTCACTCACTCACTCTCCGAGATCTTGGGTGCAGATTTTGTTAGATGTTTTCTCTTTATTCTTTCAAGCCGATGTATCGCTAGAGATACTGGTGTCTTAATGAACCAGTGCAGAAGAGAAAGCTTCATAGAACATGGTTGTGATGTTAAGATTATTGAGACATAAAAATAAGGTAATTAAGTGTGAAACATGAAATCGTCCAGCCCGTGACAAATGGGTTGTTTGTAGTGTATGATTCTATTTGATGACGTGATGGGAGGTTGACTTGAGGAAATAACCTCCATTTCCTTGGTAACGTGCACGTTTTTCTGGTACAGACATGCATCGTTATTCTTTTGTGAAGTGTCATCTGTTGTATCTTAAACTGATAGACTCAGGTGGTTTGCACTTCACAAACTGTTTGACTTTTATTGATATGTATGTCATGAACTGATCGATTGGTGGTATACACTTGGTTTGGGCACACAAGGTTTTGCGCAGCTTTGCGTCTTTGCCCTCTGCTTCCCACATTTGCTGTTCATGCTTCAGAATGTATAGTGAATTTGAAACTGAAATATATTTCATTTTGTGAAATTAATATCGTAAAAATTAATACACACTGTTTATGCTACAGTAGCAGTACATCTGGAGTGAGTATGGTTTTACGCCGCTTCCAGCAATATTCCAGCAATTTCTCCAGAAATGGGTTTAACATATTGTATCCATGTGGGAAATCGAACCCGGGACTTCGGTGTAACGAGCCAACGCTTTAACCACTAGGCTACCCCACCGCCCGAGAACATCTAGACTATTCTCTATGTCTGCAGCAGGAGTGAGTGAGTGAGTTAATATTTAACGTCACATCGGCTCTGTAGCAGGACACACCAGCGACTGAAACAAAGTATAGTCTTGGGGCTAACTCGGATTTTCATGTAACAATACATACGAGCAAACTTGTAATTGAAACGTCACTTGACAAAATACACAATCTGAAAAATATACAACTTTGTCTTCATTTCTTCCACATCTTCTAAAATGCCACCTAAATCTACTGTTTTTTAATCAGGAATTCATTTAATACATCATCTCGTTCGAGTGTTGATGTTGACTGTTCAGTGAATTGCCTGATGCAAGTATGCAACTATAGGTTCCACTACACTAAATCAGAATCACATGCTCCCTGAGCGAGAACCTTTTGTAAACATCTGAAGAGATACAGACATATGGCAGCTGTGATTGGATGAAATAGTATAAGATTTTTATGTTTTTTTAAAAGCACATCCATCCTGACCACAATTTTAAGTATTTAGTGCTGTCATTTTTATCACCATGACCTATGCTTATTGTGTGTACGGATATTTTCCAGTAGGTGACATTTGGTGCGGAACTGTGGTTGATGTGTTCCGCTTCCTGTGCTCGGAAAATTAGCCGGACAAGTTGGCCAGAAATTGTGTTTTATTGTAGTATAACGGCCAGACTGTGCCCATGTGTACATGGAATGGCTGTTGATAGCCTGGATAATTAATTTTTTTTATAAGGTTACTATAGAAGCCTATGGGAAAACATTTGGTGTTGTGTAACCTATAACATCACTGGGGCCACAGGACGCCACATTTTGCTGTGCAGAGTTACGTCCCTTGAACAAACAAGAAACAGTCGATCCTGGATTTGAATCCTTGATCACTTCTGTTCTGTTCCTAGTTTCCCGCACCATTCCTCCAATCAGGTTGCACTACACTAAAATACGACCGAAATTTTATTCAAAGCGGCTTAAACAAAATTCACTATGACGTCATTGGTGACGTCAGAGACATGGTTTGTTCGATCAGAAACTTTTGGATACCGGTAGTCACAAATGAATATAATTCTATTTGGTGCGTTGCGTTTGATATTTATGTATTTTTACTTCTGACAAAGTTTCAATATTAATATATGTCCCAGTAGGAAGCTGAAGATTTCAGTATAATCAGTTAATGGACTCACTATTTATAAAACAGGATGACGTCAAGGCATTGTTGCTGCTATTGTTTCTAACCCAGGAATTTACTCGCCGCCGCCTTTTTTTCTGGAATATTGCTGAGTGCGGCGGTAAACAACCATCCAACCAACCAACCAACCGACCAACCAACCAACCAACCGACCAACTAACCAACCAACCAACCAACCAACCAACCAACCGGCCTTTCTGAATGAAATCTAAAAGCAAAACAAACAAAGCTTTACACTGTGCAAAAATATCCAGAAATTATAGATCACGTCGTAGAAATCCCTTTGTCCTCGTTGATTCGTCTCCCAGAGTCTCATGATATTGCCATGGCACATACAAAATCACACAAACTAAGCTAAACAATAGACAAACGAATTGGAAAAAATAGTTTATTCGATAGCAGTATCTAAGTATATGACTGAGAACATGCACTGAGAGAGAGGGTGAATATTGCTTTACGCCGCACCAGCAATTCCACTGAGAGAGACAGAAAGACACGTGACTAGTCACATGACACGATGGATAAGTGTTGATTAGCCGAGGAACAAGAGCGGCCCGTATGTCGGAGCTAGAATGATGGTACTTGTTAGCTATCTTACGGTACTTGTTTGTTCAGCGCCTTCCATATGCTCGACACGACACCGAAAAACCGAACATTAACAGACATCACTTGAGCACTATCATACTGTACAGCACTATAGTCGACTCATTGTTTATAACAACACTGTACATTCATGTACACTCTAATTTCCAGGATTCGGAAAAAGCTCGGCTAATTCCGGTGCACAAAGGTCCCATTTGCTCATTCTGAAGAAATTACGGCTATTTCCGTTGTGGCATAGTTCTGTGAGCTCCGAATGAACTCGTTCGTTAACAACTGGAAAATCTCGTCTCTGCTCCGAGGAGCAGCATTCTTCTTGACAGTTCCGATTCAACAAGCAGGTAAGTCACATGCCACTACGGAGAAGATCGACATTTTCCGATAACGTATTCCACGAAGTCCCCCGAAGATCTGATTGAATTGAGCTCATACAAACAACTTCCTGTTAACTGTTTTGTCAGGACGATTTTATATTATAATTGTCACATGAGTGTCACGTGTCATGTAAGCGAGATGCGTATGAACATCCCCTGGTCACGTGGTCCAATAACCGGTTAGTCACAGACATCACAGCTTCACATATCACATATCACATATATACTATATGTTTGAAAACAGTTTCAATCCACAGTGCTGTTTAAAGTGAAACATTAAGAAGGAGAGATTGAGAACGAATAAAAATTGCATTTATCATTTTCAAGGGGTCGGACTATATTTTCACATTCGGATATTCTCGGCTGATTTCGGTTTCCGAAAAAGGCTACGGAAATCTACCTAAATATTCCTAATGTTGTAGTATGCAATATTTGTTCATAAGCACTCCTTCTTCATGTACCACCTTAAAAAACGCTGTTCATAACTGCACCTCGCTTATCTTATGACGTCATCCATGTGATAACGATTTCTCACTGGTTGCCGTGGTAACGCACAAGTGATCTAAATGGGACTGGTTGGCGCTTGCATTGACGGTATCATAGTGAACATTGTTGGCGAATCTCTTCCTTTTTGCACGTTGTTTTCGACAAAGAAGAGCTCCACTTAGATCATATAGATGGTCTCGGAACTGTTGACTCATCGTACAATACAACACAAAGTTGATGGCGTTGTTGATCAACGCCGCCATGTCTAAAACATCCGCGAGAAGAAAATACACATGTCTAAAAAAGTACTGGTAAGAGGCACTCATCAGTATTATGAAGCTCTGTGGGAGCTCGGTGATCATATACATCACTATTATAACCAGCAACATCGTCGTTGTGCACTTGTGGCGCTTCTTCTTCTTCTGCGCATGATCGGAAGCGTTGAACAAACGCTTCTGACGTTTGGCACTCTCGTGCAGCTTCTTCAGTAGAAGTCCCATGAAGATTGATATTAACGTACACGGCAGGAGCTTACCAACGATGGCGTATAGCCAAAACGCAACCAGTGCTCGGGTCGTTGGGTTATTGTTACCAAGGGCGTAGTCGTTCAGTCTGTAGATGCTGGCGTTGAGGCCGGGGACGCTGGCTTCGTAGACGCCGGTGATGAGATAGTTGGGCATCATTATGAGCGCAACGAACGCTGGTATGACACAGATCAAAGCACAGGTGACCTTGATGCTTGGACAACGCTTGGTCTGAAGGTAGACGTAACGCATCACGGCCATGAACACCGCCAGCCATATTGAAATGCAGTGGCTCGTCGTCGTGACGTTGCCGTGGATGGCAAGGAACGTCGTCCAGCCGTAGGAGTAGCGTTCTGGGGACGGGGTGAGATCGCAGATAAGGTAGAAGTGAACGGCATATGGAATGTACGATGACATCGTAACGATGTCGGATATAGCTATGGCACATAGTATGCAGTTGATTGCCGTACGCATCGACTTACGGGTGAGGACGGTGACGTTGAGGATGTTTGTGAAGATGCCGAAGGTGCAGATGATGAGGCTGAGATAGCCATGGATGTGCCAGTACCAGTGGGCGAACTTCTCGAGGTTTGCGTTCACTACACCAAATGGCTCCTTCGACGCGTCCGATATGTTGGACGACATTGTGGAGGGTCTATTCTCAGTTTCTTTGTGTTGCGGATTCAAAGCATTTCATCTGAAACAAAAACACGATTCATTATTTTATAACATACATATGTTGTCAGTAATATACACTACCTGCAACGAACGTGTTTTCTCCAATTACAATCCCAATTTGCAACCCAATTCCTGTCCTGTGCAAAACTGCTGAATTATGCAATATTCACTCACTCAGACCATTACATGAAGCGGCTGTGTAGGTCGTTTAAGTGTATGTAACATTTCGCAGGTGAGAAACGCTAATTCCAGTCACATGTATTTGTTACATGATCTATACATTTGCAAAGCACATTAATTCTTGAAGACACTATAAAGGTGAGGTGAGTCGAGGTGAGGTGAGGTGAGGTGAGGTGGGATTTAAGGCCGCGTTCAAGATTATTGCAGGAATACATGATAGTAAAGTGCATTATGTTTGTGTGAGTGTGTGTGTGTGCGTGCGTGTGCATTTATGTGGCTGCTGGTAGTTGTCAAGACTTTATGTCGTGTTTGTAGTTATAGTGCTAGTCCATTGAGATCTCACGTCGCAGCTCTACATAAAGACAAAGCGCGAAGTTTCCGGACTCACGAGGTGTCACTTTAACGGCGTTGATATGTCAGTTGTCATAATCCAGTACGCGCAGCTTATGGGATATTTCCTTATTTGGAAGAAGGTCCCCAGAACCCAGAACCATTCATGTCCAAAGAGACCGCTGAAATGGGTAACCAATGCCTCTAGACAAGTTTCACCATTTCTTGTAACCTAACTTGAAAAAATGTCGCGACAAACGGGAGTTACACAGCTGATGCGGAGGTGTCTTTCGACCAAGCACAGACACATCAGTCATGTCAAAAAAATAATGAAAAAAGTTATTCATTGTTGATAGTTTTCTTGTCTGTAAAGGCTGATATCCCCTATCTACAGATGCCAGGAGTGCACTAATCCTTGGTCGATACTCCAGCAATTCCTGCTCCATGTAATACCATACGTGTCTTGGAGCTATTTGACCTTTCGTTTCTACGTTGTCGGCGTAAAAAGCAACGACCTGACCGAACGGTGAATCACGGTTACTGACATGGCGACGGATGAACACAGCTCATTATGTCAACCTGACTGACTGACTGACTGAGTTTAGTTTTACGCCGCTTTTAGCAATATTCCAGCAATATCACGGCGGGGGACACCAGAAATGTGCCCATGTGGGGAATCGAACCCGGGTCTTCGGCGTGACGAGCCAACGCTTTAACCACTAGGCTACCCCACCGCCCCTTATGTCAACCTGAAGGATGCTTGCCACCATCTGAATCAGGGACCTTTATAAGTACACTCGGGGTTGAAACAAACGGCCTTGGTGCGTTACTTGTCAAATCTAACGCTCAGGGATCGTCATGGCGACGTGCAAAGCTCGTCAAATCGAACGATCAACGAACGCGACAGTGACGCGGACTATACGAGCTCCGGCTCCGAGCAAGGGACAGGTAATAATGGACACCTCATTAAACCTCTTCTTGACTCCTGAGTACAATAGTACAATTACTCTATTCAGTTAGGGATATTCGCATAATTCAGTGATAATAAGTGGAATAATATGATAATAGAGAGTGAGTGGTTTTTTTGCCGATTTTAGCAATATTCCAGCAATATCACGGCGGGATATACTAACTCTTATAAATGAATCAACATATGACGGGTTATGACGTTTATTTGGATATAAATAATAACCTATGCCCTAAATGGTTATGCTTTTGCAATACTCTAAATATCGCCATGAGACGTGGGGGGTTGCCAAGACGTTGAAGCGTTCGACCGCTACGGGGGAGACATTGGTTCGATTCCCAATAATGTATTGAGACACTGGTTCGATTCCTAAAACTGTATGGAACCGACATTTCAGAAATAAATTATATATAGAAGACTGCATTAACTGCTCGCTAATGCCATACGTAAGATTAGAAAGCATCTACATAAGCAATAATTAATAAGGTTTTGTTTAAAGCCATTTTGATTTAATACGATATTTGTTCAAAACAAGTTGATATGAGAATGAGCGAATAGTGAGTGAGTTCATTTTTATGGCGCTTTTGGCAATATTCCCGTAATGTATACCAGAAATGGACTTCACACATAGTACCCATGTGGGGAATCGACCCGGGTCTTTGGCGTGACGAGCGAACGCTATATAAACTAGGCTATCCCACCGCCCACGAGCGAATGTGTCTAACTTGTTAATGTAAGTAATTATGTACATAGAAAACTGTGAATTACTACTGCCATGTAATATAACATATGATATAACAGATAGCACGAAGATTCTTAAACATGGTAGCAGTGGGGATCCAGGTTAATCTGATCTCAAGCAACCCATGTTTATTTTAAGGGGCGACTGACGCCATGTCAGGCTCGCTCACATGGTCGACACATGTTATCATACACGAACTGAGTACTTCGATACTTATGGTGGGAATCACTGGATTGCCCGGCCCAGACTCGATTATTTTCAGACGGCCGTCATACAGCCGCTATATTGCTGAATGCGGCGTTAAACAACAAACAAACATCATAATCGTCATCTTCTCCTCCTCTTCTTCATCATCATCATCATCATCATCATCATCATCAGTCTAATTAAGGATCAATACAATGAAAACTTAGACTATTTACAACTATTTGGTCGCTTTGCTTCGTTGGACAGGCGTTGTTCAGTTGAGTTATTGTGTGTAGTACCACAGATGGATTCCTTTGAAGAAGAGTGCTTATGTTTGTCAGATGGGATAGTGGTGTACAAAGATGGAAAGATCTAATTTCTTGACGTAACTTAAGTAGTTTCTTTTATTTGGGAATGAACAAAAACCCAGAACAATATTTATTAATAAGCGTGGGATCGACTCCATTTTTTTCAAACGCTTTCTGTGAATACGAAGAAAGCCCTTCACGATAGCATTAAGTATTCCCTTGACTGTACTTATTACTTAATATGGATATTCTCTGAAACAGGAATTTGGTGGTATAGTTCCTGGACGCAAAATTCATTTGACATTTCTCCAGGTTTTAGAGTCAAACTAAATGTACCAAAGCGGGTTTTTGACACGTGTCATCCTTCGTTTAGTTTTCTGGCCTTATATATTGCATTATTTGATATGTCACGTATTCCAAGTTTTTTGATGACTGATGACTTATGGATATTCTTTGATGACTGATGACTTATGGATATTCTCAGAAACGGGGACTTGGTGGTACAGTTCTGGAAGCAAAATCAATTTGACATTTCTTCAAATTAGCGAGTTAGCGAGTTTTGTGACACATGTCTTCCTCGGTAACCATTCTGACCTTATATACTGCATTATTTGACATGTCACTTATTCTAAGTTCTTTGATCAAACTCGTTTTTACAGCATTGTCACAGGGAAAAAACACAAACTGACAACATTAAACAGATTCTGTCTTCGTTAAGTAACGTCTCATAATGAAAAGACCAATTTATGGATAACAATTTCTGCTGTATGACACTGAGCGACGTTTCAATGTACACTGTTATCAAGCCGCTCTGAGCGTTGTTTGATGCGAACGCCTTTATCAACGATAAGGAAATGAATCCATTTCGAATATTTTAAATCTATATTAGTAAATGGGAATACTTCCTGTCGGGGTCAGAGCGTTTTATCAGTATCTGTCTCCGACGGCGAGGGACGTGCTGCCTCTTCACACTCCCTTACATCGGCCGTGCACACAAGCACAGCTGTGCCCAGACACACTGTCTGCCTGACTTAAAATGATCATTATATGATGAGCAAGGGATGTAGAAGTTTATTGAACACTGAGTGTGATAACGGGGAATTAACCCTCGGAGTTGACTTGCCACCTTTGTGAACAGATCGCATCAGTACCAACATCACGTGACCTCCCGGTGAATGAAGCATTAAATATTGAAAGCTTTCAGTCTATTGCAAGTACATAGTGTATACAGTGAATGGCAATGGAAGCTGTCGATGATTACAGCATGGCCTCAGAGGGCTCCCGTAAACGTCAATGAGGCCCAACGTTTGGTAGGGACTGTGGGGTAGCTGAGTGGTTAAAGCGTCCGCTCGTCGCGCTAAAGACTCGGGTTTGATTCCCCACATGCGTACATTGTGGGAAGCCCATTTCTGGTGACCCTTGCCGTGATTTTGCTGCAAATATTGCTAAAAAGCACGCTTTAACCACAAGACTACCTCATCTCCCTCATGAATTATTTGAACAATGTTACAACATTCAAGGCCCAAGTGAATCTTTAAGAACATGGAAGACAAGTTGAGAACATTGCCAAATTGACGCGTCTGTGATCTATGCAATTCCCTTTTCTGACATGGAATCATATGTTTTTGTGTCCCTTAAGGCGAACAGTTGCTTTGCCCTTGCGTGAGTTTGTGACGGGGGCCACTGATGGAGCAGGATACGCTCACCTTATTGTGAACACTTGTCATCATCAGTATTTGAAGTAATTCACAAACATACAATCTGTATAGCATTCAGCAGTTGTGTCTCTTGAATATATGGAAGGTTTTGTGGTTTTTAAAGAAATACAAATCAGCCCCTCCTTCTGACAAACGTTCTCTACAAGACGCAATGCACTAAAACAACCATCCCTAAATGAATATGATACGTACAACGATTGTGTATTCTTTACGTAGTTAGATTGTAGAGAAATTGATTTTTTGTTAAATTGTTAAATTCTTCAAAGCAACTCTTGGTTGTCATGGTGAACGCGTATCAGACATCAGACGTAACCAGAAGCATATTTCTACTGTACAATTCTTTGATTGACATGTCAACAAATGAGACAATGCGTAGCATCAGATTTCATTTACAAACAAAATACGTAAAATGAAACCATCACTTGAGTTCTTTTGTTCTCGGAAAGTCAGATAAAAGAGCACTTCGTTTCACTAAAACTTCCTTAACTCCATGTCGAGCTGAAACTATAGTGGTGGTGAAAACAACTACACACTTGACTGACTGACTGACTGAGTTTGGTTTTACGCCGCTTTTAGCAATATTCCAGC